AAAAAGCCAAAGCCAAAAAGGAAAAAAGTTAACTACAGTCAAAGTCTCTCAGGTCACCGAAAATCAGCTTCCTGGGTTAAGAGGACCAAAACCTAGGCCCAGCCAGGGACTTATACTAATGTAATTCCCTCACACTGGTTCCGTATGAGGTCAGAGCAAGAAATGAACAATCACGGCTGGGGATAATCCACATGGTTTTCTCACTTTTTAGTGTCAAGAACCCTTTCACTCTTTGAAAAAAAAAAAAGGAGGGGACCCCAATGGGCTTTTTGTTTATGTGGGGTATAGCAATCAATATTTACTTTATTAGAAATTAAAACTTATAGGATGCTTCAGTAGCTTTTTCATTTCAAGTTTGAAAAGCCATAATAATTTTGGCTTTTAAAAAGCTCATGATGTCTACACTTAAAATAATTCCTTTCTCTCTTTAATCTCTGAATGACTGGTCTCAACATGATGCCATAACTTAACCAGCATTACAATACTATAAGAAAATGTTCTGTTGCATAAGAAACAACAAGGTACATTATTAACATCTCTAAAGCTAGGAGGAACATGGCTGTCATCATATTTTCATTTCTTATTTACAGTTTTGTGTGTGTGTGTGTGTGAGGGAGATGGGCCCTGAGCTAACATCTGCCAAACCTCTTTTTTTTTTTTTTTTGCTGAGGAAGACTGGCCCTGGGCTAACATCTGAGCCCACCTTCCTCTACTTTATATGGGACACCGCCACAGCATGGCTTGACAAGCAGTACGTCGGTGCGCACCCGGGATCCGAACTGGCGAACCTCGGGCCGCCGCAGCAGAGCATGCGCACTTAACCGTTTGCGCCACCGAGGCGGCCCCTCTTATTTACAGTTTCGCCTAAAGTCTTTAGAGTAGATTCCTCCCTTCCATGAGCCAGAGAAGCCACAACGTCCACTGTGAGATTTTCAAATATAGAAGCTGCAGCTGTGGGACAAGAAAGTAAGTCTTCTCCCCTTTCTTTTTTAAGCCAAGCCATCATGCTCTGTGTCTGTATTATTCAGCATGGATGGGGGTCTGAGTGCTGGACATGACACCAGTACCTCAGGGGAGGGAACCGAGAAGCCCCTTCATTTATTCCTTTTCTAACATTTTTTGTTTCTGTAGATCCCAGTTTCTAAGCTATATCATTTTTATTCTCTCTGAAAAGCTTCTTTTAACATTTTAACTTCTTTTAACATGTAAGGTAGATCTACTGGGGAAAAATTTCCTCAATTTTTGTTTGTCTGAGAAAGTCTTTATTTCTCCTTCACTTCTGAGGGATAATTTCACTGCATATAGAACTCTAGGTTGATGGTTTGCTTGCTTGCATGGTTTCTGAAGAGAGGTATGATGTAATTTTTATCCTTCTCCCTCTATAGGTAAGGTGTTTTCTTCCCTCTGGCTTTCTTCAAGATTTTCTCTTTGTCTTTGATTTATCTGCAGTTTGAATACAATATGTCTAAGTGTAGACTTTTTGGTATTTGTCTGCTTACTGTTCTCTGAGTTTCCTGGATCTGTGGTTTGGTGTCTACCATTAATTACGGGAAATTCTCTGCCATTATTACTTCAAATATTTCTTCTGTCCTTTTCTCTCTTTCTTCTCCTTCTGGTATTTCCATTATGTGTATGTGACACCTTTCGTAATTGTCCCACAGTTCTTGGATATTCTGTTCAATTTTATTCAGTGTTTTTATTCTTTGCATTTCAGTTATTAACTTGTCTTCACTGATTCTTCCCTCAGCCATGTCCAGTCTACTGATGAACCCAGCAAAGGGATTCTTCATTTCTGTTATGGTGTTTTTTATTTCTACCATTTCCTTTTGATTCTTTCTTAAAGTTTCTCTCTCTCTGCTTACATTACTCATCTGTTCTTGATGTTACCCACTTTTTCATTAGAACCCTCAGCATATTAATCATAGTTGTTTTAAATTCCTGGTTTGATAATTGCAACATTCCTGCCATATCTGAGTTTAGTTCTGATGCTTGCTCTGTTTCTTCAAATTATGTTTTTTGTCTTTTAGTACACCTTGTAATTTTTTGTTGAAAGCTGGACATAGTATGTTGATTAAAGCAATCCAGCACTGGTTCCCACAGAGATTTCTGCTCCTGGATTTCTGCTCTAGTTAGGCTGTGATTCTCTGTATCTGCCTGTAGATCTCTCCAATTTGGGGCAGCAGTTTGCTGTGACCTCATTTGTCCGATGGATAAAAGAAGAGTTGTTAATTTTCAGTTTGTTCAACATTTTTCTTATTGTAAGGTCAGGAGTGATGACCTGCAAGCTCATCACATGCTGGACCAGAAATTGCAAGAGATTTGTTTTTAATATTTACATTACTAAATTGCATTAATGTAAAATTAAAGACGTTAATTCTTACAACTTACTCAAAGCTTTGATATATAAAGGGTAATCTAAAAATTAAAGCTATTTTAATGGGATATACATTTAATAAGTTAAGATAAAAATCAGAAATTTGTGCACTGTCCACTTCAAATTCACATTTACCAAAGAAAAATCAACAGATAACAATATAATACAACTATCTTTTTACCTTTATTGGTTAGTTTTCCACTGCAGCAGTACCACTTTAGCCTCAACATGATAAGGCCTTGGCCAATACAGCAGTTAAGCTATGAAACTGCAGCAGTGTGTTGTCATATATTTATGTATTTAGAACTGTAAAATAGAATCTTTAAACTGGCTAGAAATGAGAAAAATTTAGACCCACAGAACCCTTGGGGTGAGAAGTGGCAGGAAGTTTTCTTAGTAGTACAGTTCTTGAGCTGAGTTTGCAAAGGTACAACGTAATACAGCAAGGCCTCATTTACTAGATGCCATTAGCAAAGAGGTATTCAGAATAGGGCAAATTTCCAAATAGGGTAAGCTTATACATTAAAATTATACACACACACACACACACACACACACACACACACACATATATGTAACTTTTAACTATTTTGGAAGGAATCTTTCTAAATTGTATTTGCCTTATAATAGTATACGGAACATAATTTAACTTAAAAAAAATCATTCACAGCTGTTATTATGATCATTAATGACTGTTCTGTACACATTTCTGGGATATTGCTTCAGGTTGCAGTGTTTTATGAGGTTGCTTTTTATAATCATCTCAACTGACGTCAGACTCTTACTGATTATTAAAATCAGGGTACCCATGTCTGACATATCTACTTCCTCTCCTTCTAATTAGTTGCTTCTAATCTGTTGGGCCGCTCCTGGACGACCATCACTCTCTCCAGCTCCACTTCTGTCCTGGTTTCTGTTCCCTTCAGTTCTCGAGCTTCCTCCATGACAGGAGTGCTGAGGGAGCTCCCTGTGTCCCAGCTGCCCTCCACACCTCCATCCAGTCAGGAAGAACCCAGAGCTGCTTGTGATCCTCCAGGCAGCACTTCTCAGCTGCAGCATAGTCACAGTTTCGACAGGGCCACTCTGCAACGAGAGATGTCCTGTGTGCTGCATGATGTTGAACAGTGTATCTGGCCTCTACCCACTACATGCCAATAGCACACCTCTAATTGTGATGATCAAAATGTGTCTCCACCCAATGTGAAATGTCCCCAGGGAAGAGAAGAGGGTCACTGCTCCAGGCATCAGCACGGAGGCCAGAGAGCTGGGTGCTCAGGATAAGACCTCCACAGCCTCTGCATCAACTTGGGAGAGTGACAGTGAGGCCTAGATCTCAGCATATCCCTGGCAAGACTCCCACTCCTCCTGCCCCTCAAACTCCCATCCTCATCACTACCATCTTCCTTGATATTATGTCCTATTTATGCACACCTCAGCCACAGGAAGAAGCCTCAAGTACTGATCATCCCACATCCCCAGGCTCTAATCCCTATTTATTCTGACTGTCCCTTTCCTGACCCTCTCTAAAATAAGAAGAAACTGACTCTGAGGGAGGACTTTTAATTGTGACAGGTTTTCATTCTGATATCTGTGGTGGTACTCTAGCTTGCAGACAGGTGTTGATGTCAAACAGTGACCAAAAAGTACATAAACCAAAGCTCAAAAGAGTGGTTTCCTACTACCCACTTACTTCTACTCAAATTTTATATTGCTATGCTAGGTTCAAAGAGTAACAGAACTATCAAACTCCAAACTAGAAATTAAGCAAAAAATGCTAAAGTGGTCATAATTCATGTGCAACTACCCGAATTTGAATCATTATACCTAAACAGATAACTCTAAGGTCAAAATGAGTGTTTTACTGCCATGATAATTAAGAACAGGTGGTTCTAAATGAATGATAAAGATTGCTGACATAATTACTTCCTTTCCTTCACATAATTCTGTATAAAAAATAAATAAGAAATTTGTTTAGTCTTAAATCAATCACTTCCGAGTGATCACTTCTACTTATTTATTTATCCTTTTAGCTAGCTAGCGTTTGGGCCACATTTCCTCTGAAGAGTTCACATACCCTATAAAGAATTACCTTGTACAAAATGTGAACTGTGAACACTTCTCAAAGCTTAACAGTGAAAATGAGTCTGGACCATGGTAAAGAGAAGAAAGAATATCTCCAAAACAGAACAGTAACTTCAAAAGTAATTGGGAGGAGGAAGTTAGATATCATTGCTTTCTCTCATACTCTTTTCTAGGTCAAATTTATGCCTCTTCTCATCAGCCAAAAGAATCACTGCTCTACTGATCTTTTTTCCACTCTGCTACTAAATACTGAAGCTGTGACACAAAGTCCTGGTCCCTGTACTAATCATGTTTTTTATTTTCTGTTTTTATGATGCTTTGACATCTTGGGGCCTGGCAGACCAGAAAAGGAATTGCCTCTCTGACGGTTAGCTAATTCCTAGAGATAGCAAACAACTTGCCTGAGGGCATGCCTTTGATATTAAGCAAACATCAGTTATTAAGTTATATTTATTGAGGGCTTATTATGTTCTTCCCATGTAATAACTTAATCCTCACAACTCCCCTCTGAGGATGCCCCATTAATACTCTGTCCACTAGCCCACAACTAGTAACTGGAAGAGCAGGATTCACACCTAGGCAGGTTGGCTCCAGTGGCTGTGCCTGTAATCTCTCTCTCACACACACACACACACACACACACAGACACACACACACACACTGTTGTCCTTCATCTATGGAAAAGGCACCAGAAAAGAACAGTTTTCAGAAATGCTGATGAGCTGACTTCTCAACCCAGCTCTGCAGTGTGGCCATGCCATGCACTGAGAGACGCTGACTGGCATTAAGGACACGACAAACCGTTCTCATTAGCACAAAGCAAATTAACTGGGATGGGGTAAAAAACAGTGACGTCATTAGCACCACACTTTAGCCAGGCAAACCAACTTGTTCAGCTGGGAGAGACATAAACTCAGGAAAAAGCCACTTAACTAGGAGTCAGAAGGCCCAAAATGGCCCGCAAGAAAGAAAATCAAGACTTAATTACAATTTTAGCCCTTCCCAGGAATGTGACCTTTAAACAGTCAATCTGAACTTTCCTGAGTTGCACTAGTGAGGTAATCTACATGATAAAACCCTTGCCATTCCCTTCCCCCCAAAAAAGAAGATGTCTTGGCCTAAAAAATAACCCTTTCTTTTCTTTTGCTAATAGCGCCCTTGCCCCACCCTTCTCCCTATAAAAACCTTCCATTTCCTACAACCCCTCAGTGCACCCTTCTAGTTGCTAGATGGGATACTGCCCAATTCATGAATCACTTAATAAAGCCAATCAGATCTTCAAATTTACTTGGTTGAATTTTGTTTTTTAACAGATACAGTGGCAGCGGTGGGACCAAAACAAACTTCTGACGGCATTCAGGGATGAGAGACACAGGCATGGCATCCCGCAGACCCTTCTGAGTTCACTGTCTTTCCTCACATTTCCAAAGGCTGTTGGTAAGTATCTCCTGGTCAAGCTCCATTCTCTTTGCGTTCAAGGTCCCGATCTAACTAGCTTTCCTTTATGGGACAGGTCAGAATGAGCTGGCAGATAATTCTGCCCAGAGCCAACTGAGCAGGCAGAGGGTTCTACCCAAAGGCAAGCCCCTCGCCTTTCAGACCGAAATTCCCAGGACGCAGTAACATCTCTTGGTTACTGCCAACATAGTGGAAAACCCCAGCCCTTAGCTCTGTCCCTGGATTCCACATTGGAAGCTGCTGATGGTTTAGTCTGCAGCTCCCCATTTGTTCAGAATCAGCCCCTATATTCCACATTGGTAACAGCGGGTGGCAGCTGCAGTTCTCCATTGTGTTTGGAATCAGTCTGCAGTCCCCATTCCTTGGAGTGTGCTGGTCCAATCCCCTCCCCAGTCCAAGGTTCCATGAGAATCGTTGGTTGTGTGCACAGGGGCTTCTCTTGGCCAGGATACACTAACATCTCTTGGTTACTGCCAATACTTGTTTGCGCACGGGGGCTTCTCTTGGCCAAGACGCAGTCACATCTCTTGGTTACTGCTGATATATTAAGGCAAACATGTTTGTTTGTCTTGTTTTGTATAGATAAAGGCTAGCTAAAAGAAATGGGATCTTTTATATCCAAAGAGCTGAGCATGCCACCTTCTGGCAAAACTGTTTATTTTATGTTTAAGAACTATATTCCGAGAAGCTGCAGATATCTAGCAAGATGGTAAAACTTTATGGGGAATGTTCCAAATAGATAAGATCATTTAAAAGGTACACTTAACAGCAAGGGCTCCCAAATCAAACAGTATGGGATGCATATTTAAATTAGCATGCCGAAGCTTCAAAGGCTTCAAGATTCCAAAATACCTTCATTGAAGGATTCATTGCAAAAGGCTAATGAAAAATTAAAGAGATAAAAGGTACCTAAAACAAAAGTACAACCCAATTCTTTAAGGAACTAAACTGGCTGTCTTTGTTTTACAAATCTAGTCTCTACAGGACCAAAGGTGTGGCTCTAGAAGTTCAAAGTTCATCTGCCCTTTTTGCTAATCCCCCAAACCTTACCTATCCATCTCAAAATACTTATAGATATTGGGACCTTAGAAACAGAACTGTTCAGCAAATATGCCTCAAAAACTCCATCTTAGAGAAAACTTAGATACCTTCCCTGTGCCTTTGTGATGTAGATTTCCTACCACCATCTTGTCTAGGACCTAAGAGCCATTCTTTGAAATGCAAATGTTTCTCATCAGAAGGAAAAAAAGAGAGAAGCAATTTAGAAATTAGGCTAATGAGAAAACCTAGAAATCTTCTCCACAAATATGAGTAATTATAAGATCTCTGTTTCTGTCTGTGTATGTGTCTGTCTGTACGTCTACGTATATGTGTTGTAGATGTGTCGCTATTTTCTGGCTCCGATGGTAGTGCCAAAATTAATTCGTAAAAGAGCTCTATTTAATTGAGTTAAAGGTCAAGCACTTGTAAGGATTAGGCATTTTAAAGTTCTCAGAAATACAGAAACTAACTCAAATGCTTTTCAAGTTCACATGATCTGGGAAAATATTAGGTATAAAATATTAGGTATATAAGTTCACTGGTTTAATTAAAACAGACACATCTTTAAAGTTATCAACATTGAATATAATGCAAATAAATAACTTTTATTATATCTGGGTTTACTGTCAAATTCATGTTATCTCTGCTACAAAATGTGTCAGCAAAAAATAACTTAGAATGATGGCTGATTTTGTCTAATGTCTCATAAGTTTTCATGGGTAATCTAAACATAATTGATGGCAGCAAATAATTTAGCTAGATATAATTGGGATAAGAGTTTGATAAACTTTTTAGCAACATTATATTTTATGGTATGTGTACTTAAAAATAGCCTCCAGAAACTTTAACTTGAAACTTTAGAATTTTGCTAAGTTAAATTAAATGATGGGAAACTTATTGAATATCTAGATCATTTCCAAATAAGATAAAATACTGAAAAATTAATTACTGAACCTAAGTTTATCTACTTTTGGCTTCCCATTGCAGAGAAAAAGATATTTGGGTCTATTACTAAACATGTCTTATGCCATGCTGAGAAATTTTCTACAAAAAAGCATATGTTTCTAGAACTTATAAAAAGTATTTATAAATTTGCCAAGCCACGGAATGCTAATATAAAATACAGTTCATAATTGTGTACTTCATTTTTAACTAGAAATTAATGTTTTTAAAGACTTAAAATCCTAATATGAAGATGCATTTTTGTTAAGAGAAAAGAGAGAAATTTTGTTTCAGAATGGGAAGGAGAAAAATGAAAAACTAAATGTATATAAAAAAGAGAGAGAGAATTTTTCCTTGCGTAATCAGGCTGGCAAAAATTAAATTGTTATTATAAGGGTTTTAAAATTAAGTTTTACTATCAGTACTGTACTTACATAAAACTAGAACTTAATTTTCGTTTATCCATTAAAGGACAAAGTTTTCTGGGACTATTAGTACACATCTGACAAGAGATTATGAAAAGAAAGCAAAGATTTCATGTTTTAGCAAAATAATTGTGCTTTATCAGACCTTTGATTACTTAAGCAAATCTAGTTTTCTTAATATTAAAAGTTTTGCTCTGTGTAACCTTCTGTATTTGCCTTTAAAATCTTTTATTGTCACTTTGGTTAAATGGATAACTAAGAACAGGCATACCTTGTTTTATTGCACTTAGCTTCACTGCACTTTGTAGGTACTGCGTTTTTTACAAATTGAAGGTTTGTGGCAATCCTGCATCAAGCAAGTGTATCAGCACCATTTTCCCAACAGCATTTGCTCACTTCATGTCTCTGTGTCACATATTGGTAATGCTCACAATATTTCAAACTTTTTCATTATTATTACATTCGTTATGGTGATCTATGATCAGTGATCTCTGATGTTACTATTGTAATTGTTTTGGGGCACCACAAACCACATCCATATAAGACGGCAAACTTAATCCACAAATGTTGTGTGTGTTCTGACTGCTCCACCGACTGGTCATTTTCCCATCTCTCTCCCTCTCCTCAGGCCTCCCTATTCCCTGAGACACAACAATATTGAAATTACACCAATTAATAACCCTACAATGGCCTCTAAGTGTTCAGAAAGGAAGAGTTGGACATCTGTCACTTTAAATCAAAAGCTAGAAATGATTAAGCTTAGTGAAGAAGGCCTGTCAAAACCTGAGAAAGGCCAAAAGCTAGGCCTCTTGCACCAGTTAGCCAGGTTGTGAATGCAAAGGAAAAGTTCTTGAAGGAAATTAAAAGTGCTACTCCAGTGAGCACACAAATGATTAGAAAGTGCAATAGCCTAATTGCTGATGTGGAGAAAGTTTTAGTGGTCTGGACAGAAGATCAAACC